GTAGGGGAGGTCGGAGCCCCGTGAGAGCCCTCCCAGGGGCGCTTTGGCGCTGGAGGCAGCAGAGAGGGGGACCCCCCTGCTGCGGGCCCAGCCGCGACCGCAGTTGGCGAGTTCCGGGGACTCCCCAGCGAGAGCGGGGCAGATCCGGTTAGCCACCCGCGCAAGAGTTGCCCGAGAGCGCCTTTTGGAGCAGAGGCGGGCACACACTGCTAATTACCTGAAATCATTTTTTCCATGTATGTGAATATGCATGTCTTCCTTATGGCTGTCGGGTCTAAGCAAAAAGCAGAGAGGCTTCTTTCTGCAGTGACAAAGTCGCCATTTATAGTTCTGCCTGGCCATGGGATACATCGGTATTACTTCAGTCCACCTGAGTGTATGTGTTTGTGTGTTCCTTTAAAAGAATGTTGCTTCTGTTGCAAAGTGAAGCACTTTAAAGCTAAAAAAAAAATTGGAATTAAACCTATCTATGCAGTCTTACTAGTTCTTCCTTGTTTGTATACATTATAGTATATAGTCTTTTGAATACAGAATTACTTCACATGTTTTTTTTGTACAGTACTTCTACCTCTAGTTCACAGGCTTTTTTTTTTTTTTATCCTGGGAAGGTTCAGGACCTTGACACAAGATTCTGAAGGACAAATAATAGAAGTAAAATGATGTGGGTCAGGTTCATAAGTTGGAATGGGACATGAAACAGGAAAGCCTGGAAAGTATCCATTGCTTCTTAAATGGATATTGTCCTGTGATACTCTGTGCAATGACCCATAGAAACAAATACATGGAAGTAGTCCTCACAGTCACCAAGGATTCCTTACTCTGCCTTAGCCGCTCATCTTGGCTAGGGTTGGGGCCCTTGGTAGAGTGCTTCTAAATTAAAAAAAAGTGCAGGGGAAAAATGCACCCAGATCCTCAGCAGAAGTTCCTAGAGGAGGTAGAAAAAAGACTGCAATCCCATGTGTATACATACCAGGATCTCTTTTACCCACAAAAGATATGTGTCAAGAAACTTTGTAAACAGAGATCAAAACATTCCTGTGTTCAGAGCTCTGTAGAGTAACCACTGACATGACAGGCCATGGACTTAAGGTGGACTAAAGGCTGGCCCATATGAGCTTTGTCATTCACTGATGGTAAAAGATCTGATCACTTAGTCGAGGGGTGGAGAGAAGGGGAAAGGAACAAGAAAACAAGTAAATGAACTGTATAGACCATGAATGTATATAGTTGTTTTTATCATGTGGCTCTGGTAGCTCGTTGAAAAACTGGTGAGTGGCTTGTAGGTTAAGGCCTGACTTCAAGATCTCGAGGGCCAGATGATATGCCTCCTGTAGGGCATGCTTGAGATAAACAAGAGAAAGGGGACCTGTGAGGTGGGCAGGTTTTTGTGCTGGCCAAATGTTACAGGGTCCATTTGGTCAATAAGAGCTCTGATTCTGGTGACAACAATGACAACTAATGTCCAATAAAGCAAGGGAACCTCCATCACTGTTCAGTAAGATGTAGGTAATATAGCAGAGTTTAAGTGAGGAGATCCTCACCCTTGGTAGCTGCAGTAGACCTGGTTTCAGAGATCAAATTCTAGGTCCTAAGAAATTCTGGCGAAAGTCCAGCAAATATCTCAGGGGATACCACTTTTGATAAGTACTGAAGAATTGCTGGTCACAGCAGAGCCCTCAGTTATTGTAGAGGAGTCTACCAGGGCCATTCAGAAGTAGCTTATTTTATTCTCCTTTTAGCCTTACAAAAGTAAAGCTGGTGGAGTCATCCAGATGTTGGTTGTGCCAGACAGGCCATAAAAAGTGGTGTTTTCTCAGTGCCTATATTGAACTCGGTGATTCAGGAGGTCCTGGAGCCTTCAGTTTCGCTATATAAAGCTTTGTCACTTGCTCTAATGCAGGGATGCTCAAACTTTGTCATAGTGAGTCTAACTGAGCAATGGAAAAAATGACTGCACCTCCCCATAGCTTTGTCATATTTTCAACCTTTGCGTTTTGCTGGAACCTCTGCTGCTGTGCTCTCTTTGGCTTGGGTTGTACGCTTTTCTCCCTTTGTCACAAAACTATCCATTTTGCATTTAAGCAGCTTCTCACTAAGCATGCTGCTTATTTTTAAAATATTTTTAATTTAATTTCAAAAAATATTTTTGCCCTGATTACGTGTATAGGCATACCATATATAGAAACAATTGCATACTAGCTCGAAATAAAAGTATTACTATTGTATGTTGAGTGTGTGGGGTTTGGTTGGGAGGGGGGGTGTATGGTGGGGTGTGTGTGTGAGGGGGGAGGGAAAGGGTGTGTGTGGGAGAAGGTGTGCAGTTTGTGGAGTGCGTGTGTGGGTGGGAGGGTGTGCATATAGGTATGAGGCGGTGTGCATGTGCCAACCCCCCCCCCCCCCCCCAATGGTGCAACAGCAGCAGCAAGAGACTGGCCTTTGTGTTGCTCATGGCCCGTGCAGGTAGAGTCCCTTGATGGCACATGGCTTCGGCCAGTTCTGGGAGCTGCACACAGTGGCAGGGAGTGGGGCCAGGCTGGCCCAGTTCCATTGGGCAGGGCTTCTGGTGGCTCATGTGTAGTTCTCGGGACTCACACACTGCTGGGGGGGAAGCCCCATGCAGTGGAGTCAGTGGCCTGGCTCCGTTCCCTGCAACCATGTGCAGCTGCTGAGACCCCACTGGGAAGCAGGGAGTGGGGCCAAGCTGGCCTGGCTCCATTACACGGGCTCCTTGCCACTTCCACTGAAGCCCTGATCTGGACTCTGCACTCCTGCTGCCCTGCTGGGCATGAGCCCTGTGTTTCAAGCTCCTCACTCCTGCTGGCCCCAGTCCTACGCTCTTTATTTCTGCCCAGCTGCAGCTTTCCCCTGCCTGCTCCCCCTCCCTACCTGCTGCCTGAAGCATTGCCCTCTCCTCAAAAAAGAAAAAAAACCTCACAGCTCATGCCTCCCTTGAGGTGACACTGCACCTCCCTGGGGAGGCCTGCCTCTCAGTTTGAGAACCACTTCTCTAAAGGAGTAACTGACAGCAGCAGTAGGTGTCCCAGTTTCAAGGGAAGGAAGAATTGATAGCAGAGGCTTAGTTAGTGTCAGGAGTTTATGCCAGCAAGCACCCAGTCTCTACCTATCCAGCCCTTCTCCCCTGTCTCTTCCACTGTCC